GTGGAGGCTCTGCGTCGGGGAGGGGCCCTGCCTGCCCCCACCCCCCTTCCCTAGGGGCCTGGACTTCCCTTCTACCCTGAGTGGGAGATTCTGCATGGTGCCAGTTCCTGTGGGCATGCACACAGACATCTCCTCCATCCCAGCCGGCAGCTGGCACCTGTCCTACTGAAGGTTTTACTTTTAAGGCAAACTATCTTTTAAAAATGTATTTCTACTCCCCATGTGGAGTTTTGAAAACAAACAACAACAAGAAACAAATCTCCTCTACCCTGCCTGCACAATCTTAGACGTGTAAAAGCTGTGGGGAGTCTGGGAGAAGGGTGCATGATTCCAGTTCAGGCAGGGTGAGCTATTTCAGGTAAGCACGCCCAGTAAAGAGGTGGCCAAATGCAGCTCGGTCCAGACAAACATGAGAGCCTCCACTGACTGTTTAATTAAAGGACAGCTTCCAGGGGTTTCCTAGAGCAGAGTCAGTCCTACCAGCAATTGGCTCTGGTGACCCCTCGGTGGCCACAGCAGGGGCGCACTGCTCACACAGCTGGCCAGCACCGAGGTGCGCTCTGGCGTCAGGAAGCAGGAATGCACAAGAACTGCTGGCGGGTACAGAGCTAAATTCCCCCAAAGTCTGTCTTGCAAAACATTTTAACAACAAACAAACAACAACAACTCCGGATGACTCCACTCTCAAAGCAGCTCCTGGGAGCTCTGTCCAGGTCTGCAGGGGGGCTCTCTACTTGCTGAGGAGGGCACAGGCACAGGCAAGGGCCAGGACCCAGGCCAGCAGTCTTCAAACAAAGCCTGCTGGGAAGGCTGGGCTTCCCGCTTCTAACCCACCCCTGGAATTTTCTGATCCACCAGAACCCCAGCTGTCCATTTCCGTTGAGCGTCCCCTCTCAGCCCTTCTCCGTGCGTCGTCCTCGCTGCCCACACCTTGCTCCCCTCCCCACAGCTCACTCCTGGCCTGGAGACCCCCTCCGCAGATGGGTGCGGGCCTGCACCCCAAGATCGCAGGAAGGAGGGACTTGGACAGGCTGCAGGTTTTCTAACCTTTGAGGTGGGGAAACTTCGGGAGACGCCGCTGCAGGCACCTCAGAGGATGAGACCAGTGCTGCCACTGAAGGACAGGTCAGCAAGGGGGAGCCTTCACAGTCATGGGCGACAGCAGAGAGCTGGGTACCTGAATGCTGCTGAGTGGTCACAGAAGGGAGCTGCAGTGGGCCCAGGGATCCAGGCTCTTTGCACCCATCTGGGCTTCTGGCCGTGGGCTGCCTTCCCGGTGTCCCACGGTGCGGCCTGGAGGCGCCCAGGCCCATCCAGCAGAACCCAGGCAGGGCACCACGGGTCTTGGGGTCAGAGCTTTGGGGATCCCTCAGCGTCCAGGTTTCTCCTGAGCATGGGCTTCACTGAGGACATACAGCTTTAGGGGAATATTTGGAAGCCCAGAGACATGGATGCTGGGATATTCAATACGACGGTCTCCTAGGAGGGGCAGCAGCTGGATTTAGAGTTTGCACAATTTATAACGCTGGGTTTCAGTTTTAACAAACAGAAAGCAAACTGCACAGCCGCGTGCATCTTTCCTCCCCTCCCCTCTTTCTTTTTTGCTGTTTCTTCCTCCAGGCACCGCCAGGATCCGGGCACCAGGGGATCCCTGGTCACAATGTAAGTGTGATTGGTTCACTTACGGTTTACACGTTCCTTCATTAACAAGAGCCGATGCAAAATGTCATCTTTAATCTTAATTGCTCACAAACATTACACATCCAAAATGGTGGCTGTATTTCCACCGACCTCAAACTCCACGGAAGACCAAAGTAACAAAGGGAAACGGATACGCGCGGCCTGGTTGAAAGGCCCCTGGGTGCTTTCCTTTCTCCACGAGTGAGCCCCGTGTGAGCAGGGCCAGATCGCTCCTCGTGCAGGGACGCCCGCCGCTCCTTGCTGGCTGGGGGCAGAGCCAAGGCCACCATGGCTGAACCGAGGCCGGCAGACGCGGGCCACAGCGCCCCCTCGCCGCCTGCCGCGCACTCCGGCCCGCGTCGCCTCTGCCTGGAGCGCGACCCGGGAGTCCCGGAGCACACGGCGGTCTCTGCGGGCGCCTGAGCCTGCGCGGCCGGCCGCGCTCCCGGGAAGCCCCGGCGCCTGGCCTGCACCTCTGCACGCCCGGCCTCGCCAGAAAAGCCCAGCTCTCGGCCACGTGCACGTCCGCGACCTGCTCTGTGCGCTCCGCCACTGTCGGGACAAGAGACAAAACAAGGCTGTGTTAACTTTGTTTTTTAAGCTGTCACGCACACACCAGTAACCGAGGAGGATCCTCGGCCAGCCCGACGCGACGCACTGCGCGGTAACTGCTGCGGGGATCGCGCTCCAAGCAGCTGCGCCGTGGCCGGCTCCTTCACCACGCTCGGAGGCCTCAGCCATGGGAGCTCAGAACCTCACCTGCCCGACACGAACCCCCTCCCCAGCCCTCAGGCGTGACAGCTGGGCCTGCTGCACCCAAGGGCGGCCGCGCGCCCCAGGTCCCCTCTGCTGTCCGCACGGCCTCCGGTCTCGGGGGACCCGACAGCCACCCAGCCAGGCAGCTACAGCCAGGGACACTGCATGGACTCTGGTCAGCAGCGTGCTCCCCCTCCCCACACTCATTGTTTTGAAATGCTTAGGACCAACCAAGTCACCTTTAACCTAAGCAAAGTGATTTTTCAAACAACAAGGAGCTGACTGCAAGACGGAGTTTATACACCCTGGTAACACCGAGAAGTGTTACTTACTGCTCCTGCGTGGGCATTTTAATTTGCTACAGTCACTACCAATAAAAACGGCACGCAGCACGATTCGACTGTTTAATAGCGCAAGGTAGAAACAGGCAGCAGTACGGAAAATTTAGATTTCAGCGGAGGAGCGTTAATTGCTGCGGCGAAAAACACACAGATCGGAAGAGGCCGCGTCCCCAGCCTAGCACCGAGGAGGGCAGGGCCAGCCGGGCTTCCGAGGAGACCCCCCCCCCAGTCACGTGCGCCTGTCTGGTTATATCCTTAATTGATGTCAAAATCGACAGCTGCAGAGCCTTGCTGGGGTGTGTCCCCAGAAGCGGCAGGGTAGGCGGGAGGAGGGGAGAAAGGAGAGGGGAGGAGCCCCGGCGCTAAGGGGACCACTGCAGGGAGCCTTCTCCAGAAATGAAGGCCGGCGACCCTGCCAACAAAAATTAAAGCCTTAAAAAGCAAACAAAATCTTAGAGGGGGGGGGGCTGGACGGCTGGCCACGTGCTCCGGGGCCCTCTGCCCTCTCAGGAGCGCATCTCACCTCGGGTGCCTTCCTTCCAGGAAGGCCCCCTTCCGGGGAGGCGATCTGCCGCCTTGGGGGGGCTCCACCTGGCTGCGGGGGGCCGGGTGTGTCTCTGCCTGGTCTCTACCCTCCCTCCCCCACTAGATCTACGGGAATTGACTGAAAGCATCTTCCCTGGAATGAATTAGGATACCCGAAGTGGGGTCCCAGCACCCGGGTGCAGACTGCTGGGCCCTCCTCCTGGCGGGTGGGAGAGGGCTGGGGGGGGAGACACTAGATGGGGGGCGGAAAGGAGCCGGAAAGCACCTACCAGGAGTGACTAGCGGCCAGCCCGCCCGAGGAGGTGGAGGAGGTGGAGGAGGAGGAGGAAGAGGAGGAGGAGGGTCCTTGTCAGGCTCCGGGCTGCAGTTTGCTACTAGTTCCCTGGATGCGGGAACCGGAAAATGCAGCTCGACCGGCAAAGGAGCCCCGCGCTCCTGCTCTGAGGCCGAAACCCACCCACGCAGAGGCCTGGGAAGAGCATGGCTACCCGAGACCACTAGGCCCGCCAGTTTCAGCCCCGCGGGATGGCCGGGCCGTGGCAGGCCCAGGCTCCACTCCGGTGCGCAGATCCCCCCATCGGCGTCTCTGTGGTGGCTCTCGGGGAAGACACCTGTTGGGTGAGCCACCCGAAGCCTGCATACACCTGCCCCCCTCCGCTCTCCCCAAGCGTCCCCATTGGTGACCCTATCAGGCCGGATCCCCTCTCCTGCCAGCCCCAAATGAAGAAGCCAAAGGGCAGAGAGGGCTTTAGGGGCTCGTGACCCAACCGCCGCCAACCTCCTTGCATGAGCCCCGCGAGGCGCCTCCGGAGCCGACGGCAGGTTACCTGAGCCACCTGTGATGCGACTGCGTCAGGCCGCCAGCCGGCCGACTGCCCTCTAGTCCCTTCCTGTGGTGGCGGCGACGAGGTTCATGCCCAAGGAGGCTCCTCCGCTAACGTCTTCCCCCCAGTCCGAAGGAGGCGTCAACTTACGAAAACCAAAAATCAAAACTCTGGGGAGGAGTTTTCCCCAGCAAAGTCCTGGCAGCGCGCTCCTGGAGAGTCCCAGCACCAGGGCCTGCGACTTGGAGACGGAACTTCACCGCCAGGCGCTGCCAGCAGCGGCACACTGAGACGCCCTGGGTCCGAGTCGGCGCTTGGCCGGGCGCGGGGCTGGGAGATCAGACCTGCGAGGCCACACGGGAAGGCAGCTCGGACGGCAAGTCACTGTACGGAGGACCCGGGCCACGCGTGTCCCCGTCCTGTCCTCCGGCCTGGACACCCGAGGCGGGGCGCGGAGGGGCGCGCAAGAGGGACCAGGGGGCGGGGCGGTGGCCGGTGGGCCCGAGAAGGGGACAGCGGTGAGAGAGGTGGGCGGCTTGTAGTACGTGCGAGTGGGAGGGGTGCGTGCCCGGGAGCGCAGCTAAGCCAGGCCCAGCTGCAGGGCCGGGACCGGGGCCCGGCCGGGGCTGGGCCGCGCGCGCGAGGCGGCTGCGCCACAAAAGCCTGCGCGTCCCTCCCTGCGCCCGCCCCTCTGCCCGCCGCCCCTCCCCGCGCGCTTCCCCGCCCCTCCCCCGGCCGTGGCCCGCGGCGGGAGCGGGCGGAGCAGGGGAGGGGCGGGCATCCGAATATGCAGATGAGCGCGTGACGGACAGCTCCGCGTTCCAATGTCCCTCGGAAACTCGAGCGCTCCTTCCTCAACTCCTCACTCCCTACTCCAGACTCCCCCAAACCCCGACCGCCGGCCTGGCGCGCGGCTGCGCCTACCGGCTCCGCGCCGCCGCCGCCGTCGCCGCCACCGCCACCGCCACCGCCACCGCCCGGCCGATCCCCCGGTCCGCGGCCGTCCGGCGAGTGTCTGGACCAGCCAGCCGCAGCCCGCGCCTCGGTGCCCGCCGCCTCGCTGCGCCCCGGCCGGGCGTGGATGGAGGGCGCCGCGCGCGCTGCCCGCTGTTCGGCGTGACGCGGGCCCCGCGCCCCGCGCCCACCATGTCCTACCCGCAGGGCTACCTGTACCAGGCGCCCGGCTCGCTGGCGCTCTACTCGTGCCCGGCCTACGGCGCGTCCGCGCTGGCGGCACCGCGTAGCGAGGAGCTGGCGCGCTCGGCGTCGGGCTCGGCGTTCAGCCCGTACCCGGGCTCCGCGGCCTTCACCGCGCAGGCGGCCACCGGCTTCGGCAGCCCGCTGCAGTACTCGGCCGACGCCGCTGCCGCCGCCGGCTTCCCGTCCTACATGGTAATCGCGCGGGGGGACGCGGAGGAGGAGCGCCCAGCTCCGGGTGCGGCTCGGGCGCGCGGGCTGGTGGAGGTCGGCGGCGCCGGCCCTGGGAGGAGGCGCGAGGAGCAGCCGAAGCGTCTGAACCCGCTTGCGGTGGGAGGCGGCGCTGCCGGGGTGCTTTGCTCGGCTGCCGGGAGAATTTTCCGCGGAACCTGGAAAGCGCGCTCGGCCAGGCGAGGGTCTGTCCCCGGCTCTCCCTGGTTCCCCGGCAGCCTGTTGGGTCCGGGCGAGCCGGTGGTTCTCGTTGACCTGAGCACGAGGGTGGGTGCAGGGCTTCTGGGCCGCGCGCAGGGTGAGGGAACAGGGCCCGGGATGCGGCTCTGGGGCCAGACCTGAAGCCCCTGGGCTCGGGCTCAGTCTGTCTCGCAGACCGAGCTCTGGAGGGGCGTTTTGGCGGTCGCGGGTCCTCCGTGAGCCAGAAGCGGCGCCTGCTTTGACGATCCAGTGGGCTCGCGCGCCTCGGGGACACAGCCGGGGCCGTGGCCACGCACTTTCCTAGCGATGGAGGTCATTTGGGGGCTGTCGCCGCTGCCTCCCTCGGTAGAATTCCTGGGCAGCGGGGGAGTAGCGGAGGCCGTGGAAAACGCTGCAAATGTCTTGAATTTAAACGTTAAAGCCTGAATTAAAATGCTAATTACCACGTATTTGAAGAATTCGAAACGGTGACTGGCTTCTGAGTTGCAAATTGGATTTAGAGCTTTAGTGCAGTGAATAGCAGAGTGGGGGCTCTAGGTTGTTTTTAAAAAAACATAAGGGCGGGCAAAGAGGTGGGAGGTGGCACTGCAAGCTTCCGGGGAAACTCAGAGCAAGAAAGTACCAGGAGGCCGGAGCGCGAGGCGCATATGTTTGTGTACATTGCACGCGCGACTCCCAACATTTAGGAGGAGCCGTGTGGTTTTAGAAAAGTGAAATAGATCGTAAATTCGGGCATAAAATTGCAGTGCTTTTGTGATCACCAACTAGCTGGCTAAATCACCCGCTGCTTTTGTTGATCTTTTACTAAGGACAGCGCCACCAGAGCACGGGAGACCCGGGACTGAAAAGCTGTGGCGGGTGGGAGGCAGGGTCGCCTCGGGGATGCAGCCGGGAAGGTCCCCGTGCACGCACTCACGCGCTGCTGTCCGTTGCAGGGCGCGCCCTACGACGCACACACGACCGGGATGACGGGCGCCATCAGCTACCACCCTTATGGGAGCGCGGCCTACCCGTACCAGCTCAACGACCCGGCGTACCGCAAGAACGCCACGAGGGACGCCACGGCCACGCTGAAGGCCTGGCTGCAGGAACACCGCAAGAACCCCTACCCCACCAAGGGCGAGAAGATCATGCTGGCCATCATCACCAAGATGACCCTCACGCAGGTCTCCACCTGGTTCGCCAACGCGCGCCGGCGCCTCAAGAAGGAGAACAAGATGACGTGGGCCCCGAGGAACAAAAGCGAGGATGAGGACGAGGAGGACGGCGACGCAGCGCGGAGCAAGGACCAGAGTCCGGACAAGGCGCAGGAGGGGGCGGAGACTTCGGCAGAGGACGAAGGTGAGCGGGGACGCGGCTAGAGTCGGGAGCTTCTCCCCAGGCGGGAACGGGAGGACGCGGCCGGTGCGGAGCCCAGGTCCCGCCCGGAAACGCGATCGCCCAGCGCCGATCCGGCCCGTGCGACCTGGCCTCGGGGCCAGGGTGCTTCGGGGAGGCCTGGCTGCTCCGTGAGCGCAGTTCGGTTTCGGGTGAGGGGGGCGCCGAGTGCGGGGTGGCCTCGGAGCTCCAGGCGCCGCCGACCGTGCCGCCCGCCCCCAGGGATCAGCCTGCACGTGGACTCGCTCACGGATCACTCGTGCTCGGCCGAGTCCGATGGGGAGAAGCTGCCTTGCCGCGCCGGGGACCCCCTGTGCGAGTCGGGCTCAGAGTGCAAGGACAAATACGACGACCTGGAGGACGACGAAGACGACGACGAGGACGACTGCGAGCGGGACCTGGCGCCGCCCAAGCCGGTGACCTCGTCGCCGCTCACCGGCGTGGAGGCGCCGCTGCTGAGCCCCGCGCCAGAGGCTGCACCCCGCGTGGGCGGCAAGACCCCCCTGGGCAGCCGGACGTCGCCGGGCGCGCCACCGCCAGCCAGCAAGCCCAAGCTCTGGTCGCTGGCCGAGATCGCCACGTCGGACCTTAAGCAGCCTAGCCTGGGCCCGGGCTGCGCGCCCCCGGGGCTGCCCGCTGCTGCTGCGCCCGCCTCTGCCGGGGCCACCCCGGGCGGCTCGCCCTACCCCGCCTCGCCGCTGCTCGGCCGCCACCTCTACTACACGGCGCCCTTCTATGGCAACTACACAAACTACGGGAACTTGAACGCGGCGCTGCAGGGCCAGGGCCTCCTGCGTTACAACGCGGCTGCCGCGGCCCCAAGCGAGGCGCTACACGCGGCGCCCAAGCCGGCCAGCGACGCGGGCAAGGCGGGCGCGCACCCGCTGGAGCCACACTACCGGCCTCCGGGCGGCGGATACGAGCCCAAGAAAGGTAGGTGGCCCGGGCCCTCGGGGCGCTACGGGGAGGGGCTGGTGGGCTAGAGACGGAGGAGGGATGGGCCGGCCGGGGTGAGGCTGGGCATTCCCGGTTGGCAGAAGGAGCCACTCCTGGGACTCGGAATTAGGCAGAAGTGAGCTGGGGGAGAAGGGCTGTGAGTGAAGTGGAAGAGGTGGAGCCTGCCTTTTAGATCTACCCTGTTATTATTTACTCTTTATTTAATTGATGATTAATATTATCATCATAACTGTTTGGGTTTTGGCAAACACCTATTGCCACAAAATGCCAATTACAGCCCTGCCCCCTGCGGATGCAGGCCAGGCCTCTCCTGATCACTGCCTCTGGCAGGGTGGTGAACCCGGGTCTCAGCCCAGTCCCCCTCTGCCTTTGCATAGGAGGAAAGGAAAGGGTCTCGAAGAGGCCTCTTCCCTTTTCTGGTTGTCTCTGTTGTGCATAATTCGGACCACCTAGAAGGAGTTCAGCGGGGAGGAAAGGAAAGTGAGCGAGCAAACAGGGCTAGACCCGGCAGTGTCCACCCTGAGCTCCGTGTGCTACGCTGGGCTCTCCGGGTACCTGTCTGTTGGCAGCCTGCACGCGGGTACAGTTCTCACTCACCGCTCCCTCCCCCGACAGATGCCAGCGAGGGCTGCACGGTGGTTGGCGCAGGCGTCCAGCCCTACCTATAGAAGGGCCATGCTCAGCGGTGCAAGTAAGTGGGCACCCCGTGCTGCTGGACCCGGGAGGCTCCTCCAGTTGTCAGCTTGCTGCAAGTGCTGTGGAGCCACCTCTCCTGGGGTCCCCCTCCCTTTAAGGTGGGGGAGTATCTGCTCTGTTTATAAATTCCTTCTTCTGCTCAAATTCTGCATTGAAAAATCACCCTCACTGCAATGTATATGACAACACTGCTATTGTTTTCTCTTTGGAAAAATAGACGATTAGAATCTGGGCATTTGTGTGTCCTTTGGAGCAGCTCTCACTGTGCTAGAAATGTAGCAGACACCTGCTTTGATGAGGAAAGCTTCCCAAACTCAGCCCAGAAGCCTTTGTAGATAGATGTTGCCAGCGGAGCGGAGGAGGCCCAAAGCAGTGGCTGTTAGCAGGCCTGCGCTGGGCTCCTGTCCTGAAGGCCCAGACCAGGCCCTGCATTTCTCCTGGCCCTTTAAAATGCATTCCTCTACTGCCAGACAAAATTACTGATCCCGAGTCTTGACCAGGGGAAGGGGAGGTGGAACTGTTATTGGTGTGGGGCTGAAGGATTTGGGAATGCTTACGGTTTTTCCCTTGGTCCACAGGTAGGTGTCACAATTGCTTTGGAAAAAAAAATCAGCAGGCCATTCTGTCTTCCCAAGCTCATACATACACAGCTAGAAACACCAGGTCTCTAGATCCCAACTGTACCTTGTGCCACTGTAAAACCGAAGGCCCAGCACACACTGTCAGCCACAGAACCCAGGACTGCAGCCCACTGTGGTGTGGACATGTGTGTGTGTGTGTGAACCTGTCCGCATAGTGTAGCTTCCCCCGTGTACGTGTGACTTTTGAAAACAATCTGTTTTTTCTCAGGATATCTTGAATTGATCACTTCATTGCCACGGTATATATTCTATAGGTGTGATAGGATTTACTGTAAAATTTATTTGTAAAAGATGTACACAGTAGAAACAAAACGTGATTGAAGAACTTGAGTACTTCACAAGTGGAAACAAATTTGATATTTATTTTTATAATGATATAAAGCTTCTAGTAATTTATGCAAGTTGTATTGCAATGGAATCTAAACTTTTGTAAATAAATTCTGCCTGGTTTTTATTTGAACATTGCTGGTTATACAATCTTTGTTGGTTGTTTAACATGAATTCTTTACTAATTTATATCTTAAATTGTAAATAAAAACACACTAGCCTACAGTAGTACAGTGTTTGGGGCTCATTTTTCCAGAAGAGAGGTTGGAATCTGGAGCCCTGAGGCTGGGATCCTATGGGTGAGAGCAGCTCTTCTTTTTAATGAAAAGCTGGGTGAAATAAACTCACGTTTCTTGCCCGCTCATAAAGAAAAGAAAACACAGGCAGATGGAAGAGATCTACATTAGGGAGATACATGTGGTTCTAGAGTATTTATATACAAATGTATTGCAAAAAAATTTTGTTTTCTGAATATGCAAAGTTCCTTGTTAGTGTAAATTTTTAAGACTTGGAAAATAAAATGATTTGACACTCTTGTGCATTATATATTTATTTGTGAGGCTGGCTTTGGAATTTCTTCAGCAAACTAAGCGAGAAGTGCCATTCTATTGATGATGGAGAGTTCTGCCCCTAGGAGAAATTGCTGGTGGAAAGAACATTTTCTTAGCCAGAATCACCAAAATTAACATAGATTATTCAGATTATTTGAAGGTCCCCGCACTCTCCTTTCACACACCTCCATCTAACACCAGGGGGGAAGGGGAATAGTTTCCTTTCAAAGGTGCTCACCCTGACCCTCGCCCAAGGAAAGTTTAAACAGCCATAGATTATTGTGTCTTTATTGTCCTTAACTCACCTCCTAATTATAGGACAAGTCCAAAATGTGCAGCCAAGGAATGCATCCTCCTTCACTGGAATCATGAAAGCAACAACCCTGTCACTTTAATTTTCAGCAAAATTATGTGGCTATCCATATAATATGATTTCAGAAAGAAATGAGCAATCATTTATTTCCTCTCCAAAGATAAATTGAGTGAATATAACTTACAGTTATAAAACAAGAATAATGGGTCCTTAGATTGCCCTTTAATCAATCATGCACTTATTTTTCAAGAGGTTCACCTATTTTATGCCGTGATTAATAACGGTAGGGGTGAGAGCGTTATTGGATCCCAGCGGGGGAGGTCTCCGGTGCTCTTAGCTGTTTCGGAATGGTCAGTTGGGGTTCATTATGGGCTGAGATTGAACAATTTATAAAATCTTGTCTAAACATCTGCCAGCTCCGATAGGCCGATGTGTCTGAGGATGGGAAATTGCTGGAGCGGTTGATATTGACAAACGGATCTCTCTCCGGTGGCTTTTTGTGCCATGGAAATTAGTGGCCTCTTGCTGGGGTCTTGTTAGAAAGGGTATTTGAAAGTAATCTTAGGTACTTGAGGAAGCCAGGGGACTGTGAGCTGGACGCCCAGGGGGAGGGCGCTGTGGGGCGGTGGCCGGGCCTGGAGCGGACAGATAGGTGAAGGGAAGGCTTGCCATTTCCCGTCCTCGTTATGCATTCTGCTGGCTTTGAATACACAGGCATTTGGAGGTCAGACATAACGTAAACCTCTGGGGCACAGAGGTTTTCTTTGCTCTTTTTCGCTCTGCTCTGCTCTGCCTCCCCAGTCATGGAAATGGCAGTGCTGGCGCTGTGCTGTCTGCTGGCAGGAGGGGAGCTTTTTCCCGTGGACCCCTGGCCACCCTGCTTGGCTCGCCTGGCAGCCAGCAAATAGGAGGTCTAGGGAGGAAGACGAGCTCTGAGTGCATTTTCTGGTTTTGGTTTCAGACACAAAATCGTCTTAGAATTTCCATGAAGATCATGATTTTCCCCTCCAGGAAGTATTTTACATTGCACTATCAAGGGATCAAGTAGTTCACTAATACTAGCTTTATTTCTTGAGTCCACGGGGAATAAAATGCACATGACAGCAGTATCTCTGTGCAATGCACTGTCACAATGTAGTGAGGCTGTTTCAAGGGCTTCCGGGGGAAAGAGGGAAAGTTAGCGATGGAAACCAACCCTAAGGAAGGTGTAGCGTGGGGGCCAGTTGTCTCTGAAAGGCCTGGGGGGGTTGGGGGTGGGGACCTCGCGCCCGAGCTGATCTTCATGCAGATGTCCAGAAATTGAAGTCTGAGTAGCAGTCTAGTAGCAGCCACCTCCTCCGGGATGGGGGTGATTGCTTTACCTGGACACGCGGTCCTGGCCCCTTCCTGTGCACACCCAGCAGACCCGGGGAGGTGCCCCTTTCAGTGGGTGATCGCTTAGGGCAGCCGGAGCCCTGCCCAGCCTGGAGAAACCGCTTTGGTGTCTCCGTGCCCAGCACTGCTTGATTTCCCTAGCTTACCCACCTGCTTCCTGACCTGGCTTTCCTTTTGAAGAACTTGATTTTTAGATATTCACTGAGAACATGGACCCAGGCTGATGTGTAGAGGGATCTTGTCAGAGGTGTTGCATTGCCGGGGAACTTAGGCGCTCTGCTCTGGTAGGTTGTTGGGAGAAGGGCAGAGGAGACAGGGAGACACGCAGACCCTTGCTGGGGAAAGCAGCTGCTGGCTGAGATTTACTTGTGCTTTAAAAACTTGTTAATCAAAAGTGACTGCAGCCAAGACGCTCCTTTGCAGCTGCTGACTAAGATGGGGGGAGGAACAGAGCCCTGGGCCGTGGCACAGGGCTTTGGGGGCTTTGGCCTTGCGGTGGGGACAGGCCCGGGCGGCTGCCTGCTCCTGGGCCCTGCGCCCGCGCTCAGGCCTCGGCAGCCCCCTGCCCTCTGGCCTGCAGCTTCATTAGAGCTGATTTCCCGGATTGGCACCTTAGTCTCAGGTGGGCCCAGGGGTCGGGTGCTGCGGGGAGCCCGGGGGCGCTGCCGCCCGCGCCGTCAAATGTCAACATTTGTTCCCAATAAAAGCGGTATTGTTTCTGCGAAGCTGCCCAGCGACTGACTTTGAAACTTGTAAAGAACTCCTGCCTTTGTCTTCCGCAGGCTGGAGAGGCCGGCGGCCCGAGGAGGGAGCCAGGCCAGGGGCGAGGGGTGCGCCTGGAATCGGCCTCCAGGACACCCCCTCCAGCCGCCCGGAGGGCCTGGGGGTGGAGGTCTGGGGTCGGTGCTGTGAGGAGGGTCAGAAATCTGCAGGCTCCGGAGTTTCCAGCCCCAGAAGACCAGGCTTGGAACAGCCACCCCACCCCTGGGGTCAAGTCCAGTTACATTTAAATATTTATTAAGAGGCTGAAAGTAAAGCAGACCTTTTCCTTTTAAAGTGATAGAATACATACATGTTAAACTACAGTGTTGGAACAGAGACGTCAGTTGGGGGAAAAAATAGTTTGAACTCAATTTATGATCCAGTCAGAGGCAAGCCTTTTTGAATTCTTATAAGAATAGGAATTATTTCCAAGTTTTTTCCAAATAGCACACAATGATTATCACCATATGCTTTTCTTTAAAGAACAAGGACAATCCCAAAGAAAATGTTCAGTTAAAATCCAAATTAAAGATAGAGGGTAGATATGAGTTTTTAAAATACTTTTACATAAACAGCATTTAAGACGTTTTTAAAACGTGTTCACTGGAGCGGTGATCTTGGGAAACGCAGACCGTCTGTGATAGTGGATATTATGATTAACATGATTTGAATTTCTACAAATCACAAGGGGGAGATGTCCCTTTGATGTATTTTCAAACCTTTATGCAAGTGACAAATCCTTACGGATATTTTAAAGGCTTATTTTAAGGAGAAGTAATCTATGACAATATAATTTTCCAGCTGCAGAAAATGACTTTCTATTGGTCACGGTGAAGGGCTCTGCGCCCTCCCCTCTACCCTGGCGGGGGCCGGGCACCAGCATCCCTACACGCTTGGACCTCAGCCCCTGGGAGGTCCGGGGCTGCACACCTAAGCCTGGACTCGGGGTTTGACACCATCTCAGCAGGGACCTCTGTCCTCCGCCCTTCCCGAAGGGCACAGGCTGTCCTTCCTTCCCGGGAGGGCGCAAAGCTCTTCCTTCTAAGAACCCAAACACGGAGGGCGCGGCCGGAGCGCGCGGCGCTGTAATCCGCGGTGACTGGAACGGGGTGTTCCTGCACTCCCAGGTAAAGAGGAAGAATCAGCCGTTGGTTTAAATCTGTCTCCACGATCTCAAGGAAATCCTCCTGAACGCGGCCCAGGTCGCGGTGTTCTCCGAGCGGCTGACAGCCGGTTCCTCCTAACCCCGCCAGAGGACCAGAGGGCCGGGGTGCGGGGGGGGCGCTCGCAGCCCTGCCCTTCCCCGGAGACCGCCGGGGGCCAGGCGGCCGCGCGGTGCGCGCGCGCTTTGGTGGGGAGATAAATTGACAATTTATTGTGTGTAACTCTTGATCAATTATTAATCGTTAGTGTCAACAACAGGGTTATAATTACCTTCGGTTATTTTAAGAAATATTTGCTTTTTCATTTCCCTGATATGGTAATTAGCTCAAGCTCTGGAGTAATGAATTCCAAGAGCTCCCGGCCGCCCTCCCTCCTCCTCCCTCCGGCGACCTTTCGGGGAGCCCGCGCCCTGCTCAGAAGCCCCCTCTTCGCCTCCGTCCACCGCCGGCACTTTTTAGTTTTCTGCCATAAATAATGATTTCAGAGGAAAAGGGGGAAATGACAAACAAATCGAGCGCAGCTGGAATTAATAAGGCCGATCAAAGTGAGCCGGCGAGCTGCCTGCCTGCCTGCCGTGCGCCCTGGCCGAGAGGCGCAAGGCCAAGGTGTCCCGGGCCGGCGGGCGCGGAGGTGCCGGGTTCGGGTCCTGCGCGCGCAGCAACGCGGAGCTGGGGCTGCCGGGCGCGGCGCCTTCGCTGGGCGCGGGTGTGGGTCCCGTGGGTCCCGTGGGTCCCGTGGGTCCGGTGGGTCCCGTGGGTTCCGTGGGTCCCGCACCCCGCTGCCGTCCGCAGGGCCAGGCGCGGAGACCCGGATGGCGGAGCTGAGGGAGTGCCTGAGAGTGGGGCGCGGGAGCAGGCGCCTTCGCCTTTCGGAACCGCGGTCCGGTCCCAGGGCCTCTGCCTCCCCCCGCCCCCGCAGCCGCCTCTTTCCGGCCCCTCCGGCCCTTGCGTTTGGACCTGAGCTCTGCCCCAGCAAGAACCCTCGCCGCTCCTAGAGCTGAGGACTCCGGGTTCCCCTGCCCGTGTCCTCCCACAGGTCCTCTGACAGTGATCCCCGGGCCAGGCGACCAGGTTCCTCAAGGGAAAGGGCTTCCTGAAGGAGCCGCAGCCAGGGACCCCGGGAACCGCTGGACACCCCAGCCCTCTCCCCTGGGATCCACGGTGCTTGTTGTTTGGGACCCTGCGCCCAAGCTGCCCCGTGTGTGCTTCCCCTGCCCTGGGCCTGGCCAGTGGCCCTTTAAGTCCTGTCTGCACTCATCTGTGCCCTGGGCAAGAATCACTGTGTCCCAGCCTCTGCCTGAGCCCGGGGTGGGAACCACGTGCCCCCAGTATGTCACCTACATCAAGACCCAGCATCACTGCCGCCCCAG